GCGTGTCCAAGTTTAGCCTCGGCAACCCATGAACTTATGTCTTTTTCTGGACCTAAAATAATGAGAATTGAATATTTAAGTTGTCATATAGTAATGGCTTTTTATCAATGCCGGGATTTTAAGGTAAGGTCAATGAAAAATTACTGAAAACAAGTGAAATCCCTATTTGTTCATTACAAATCAAACACTTTGACATTGTGTCAATATCACTAAAAATAAAAATCAGCAGTGTCTCTTTTTTTTACTGTGATTTATCAACTTGCATAAAAAGAAGGCTGAGCAGAGTGCAGTGCACCGAAATCCTTGATGATTGATGGCTGAACAGCACTACATCAATCAAATTTATTTTGCTCCAGTGATAATTTGATTGATATTCAATAGTCTGGCAGTGCAAACTTCGAAATGGTCCTTAAAGTTTCACCGATATTTAAGTATTCTACTTGAGAGAGTTTCGCGGAGGTATTTTTTCTTGAAAAAATTCATAAAGTGATTATTTATGTAGAAAACCTCTAACCGCAAACCGGGTTCAAAGTGCAACCACTGGAAGTTTGCGTTTCTTGCTTCGTTTTTTTTTTATGCTGCGGTGTGCCAACTCAAATGCATAGCCAAAAAAATATACGACTCTACTTTTACGCTCGAGTTTTGTTTGTTTTTTTCCGTTTGATGTTGCCGGTCTGCTCCTCCATTTGTCGAATGCTTAAAGCCATTTGAAAATGATTGGCTTTTATGTCAATAAGCGTCTCAGTTGTCCTTACTTGTTTCAGTTTTTTCCTTAGCCTGGCTTTCTTCTTGACTTATTTTTATACCACGCTGACTTTCTCCGCTTTTTCTTTGGGTTTTTGCTCTCGCGGTATGCTCTTACAGTCTGTCGCTTAAGTGCCCCAATAAAATACAATAAATATACGCATAAATTTTTATATACAACGCGCATATATATATATACAGCTTGTTTTGTGGCCCAAAAGCGGCAAAAAGTAGTCGCGTTTTTTAATAGACGAAACACAAGCAAAAATAAAAGAAAAGCAAACTTGGGGTCACTTAAAGTTCGCATTTTCTGGCCAAGGCAGCTTAAAATTTCACTTTGGACAGCAGCTGGCAAGCCAGATGCCATAAATCTTTCAGCTGAAATTAAAATCCTGGATTAAAATCAAATTTTCAATAAGTTGCTCAACATCGAGGCGTAAAATAAGCATTCGTCACTCTGTTCTAGGTGCTTGGAAATAAATCTAAATTCAAACCTTTTGTGGGTTTGATTTTTTTTTAGGGGAGTCTGCTGATTGTGTGCAATGTGGCACGCACAATTGATTTATGAAAATTTATTGCTCACATGCGGATGCGCCCTGCGATAGGCAACATTTCGTGTTCGAAATTAAAGCTTCCCCCTGCCGCCGGCAATAAAATCAAAGCCGTAAAAGCTAATGAGCCCGAAAACTCGTCGCTGTTGTCACAGCCATGCCCCGCCCCCTAAAACTAATATACGAAATACGAGCATAATGAAAATCGTGGCCATCTTGTTGGATCCCTTCATAAAACCGAATTTCACCTCGCTGTTTCAGCTCATAAAATGATGGCGATGGCGATCCTCGGCTACCGTAAATATACGGCCTGGAATGTCATAAAATTTACGCAAATTGTTGCTGCTGATTTCCGATTCTCGATTCCAGATGAAAACTTGCTTACCGTTATTGCCTGTGAGTGCGCATAAATTGAGGTACAAGTACAAACAAACAAACAAGTTTGTTTATAGAAAATGGGGAGGAATTTGTTATTAGGGGGTGTGGCATGGTCTGATTTATTTGCTGAAAACACTTTACACTTTTGCTGATTACACTTTAAAATTTTAAGAGAAGTTTTTCAATAAAATATTTATAAATTTCAAATAGGTTAATAATATAAGCTTAGTTATGAAATACTTTTATTGTCTATTTTCGCAGATTTGTATATAAATAGTTCTTTTAACACAACCTCTTTTAAAACCTAAAAAATGAACTAAAGAATGTACAAAAATATAATGCATTTCGTATGGTTAGGGATGAAAATGGATTCTACTTAAATCCTAGACGTTAACATTCTTTGTTATTATTGTGCAAACATAACTTTTATAGGAACAAAAACTTAAACATTTCTCCAGGTGTATAATAACAGAGAGCCTGGCTGATTTGTGTCACTCTGCTGAGCATTTATTAGCAAGGTAAAATAATACTCCCATTTACACACATTTGCCAGGCAGGCCAAATTAAAATAATAGAAATTCAAAGTAGCCAATACCAAAATGAGTGAGCATCGAGTGCCCTCCAAGAACACCTCCGATAGGGCCTTACCGCTGGGCAGTTCATTCTTCGATGTTTTATGGCCGTTGATCCTGGACGAGAATGTCTGTCGCATTGAGAGCAAGGCGGAGGAGAACTTCGTGCCCAAGGAGCCCTTCAATCGACTGGAGTGGCACACCTATCTGGCCCAGGTGGGCTATCCATTCTACATGCCGCCCCACGAGCTGCGATGCTGTGAAGGAGCCCGGCGGCAGGAGTTTGATGAGGAGGAGGCGGAAAAGGCCTTGAACAAGGAGGTGGAGGAGCGAAGGGGTCCCGCAGAGGGTGACTTCCTGTGCCGCGGATCCCAGGCCATTCGCCCCATCGATAAGGAGGTGGTGCACCTGAGAATGGAACAAGAACGCCGGCAAAAGCTGGCCTACGAATTTGCCAATCGCCAATATCCCTGGACCATGCAGACCCCTAGCCACGAACTGGGTTTCACCCTCACCGAGGAGCTGCAGAAGTGCTTCAAGGGACCCATGGAACTGGACATACTGAAAGCCATTCACGACTTCGATTGCAAGCTAATGATTATCGATCTGGGTCCCGAAGTGGACATCAAGGACTGCCAGCGCTGGATCAAGTTTCGTCCCTATATCCAGTTGCTAGCCTTGGTTAGGACACCTCGCATGGATCGATCCCTGCAACTGCTCAATGTCTTCCACACGCTCCTGGTGGAGGAATCGGCTGATAACTCCTGGGATGATGAGCTCCAATGCTCTGTTCGCACTGGCTATACGTATGCCCAAAAAATGCAGCTTCTCAAGACCTGCGGTGAACCACTTGTCTTCGTCTTCAGCCGGTTCCGCGGCATCTGCACCTGTGATAACTTTAAAATAATTCGCAGGGCCTAGAAGGGGATCTTCATTTATTGGATGCCACTAGCTAACCAACTAACTTAAAAATTAAAAAAAAAAACAGTTTAACTTTGAACAGTAAGTTATTATTCTAAAAAAAAAATTTAAATGTTAAAAAAAATCATAAGTTGAAGAAAAAGTCAAAAATTAAGTAATATTGGTTATAAATAAAAAAAAATTGTTAATAAAATGAGTATTAGTAATTGAAAATAGAATCTATTATGATAAGTCTGAATTTTTTTCTTATTCTTGTAGAGTAATTCTCGGGGGAAAAGTACGTAAAAGATTTTTGTGTCACCCACGAATACAAGTTTGTTCCTCAGGGAACTAAAATCACTCAAATTTGTTTGCCCCAGGGGACTAAAATCACTCAAATTTTTTTAGCTTCGACGTGCCAGTGATGTTAACCTAGTTTGGCCGTTATTCAAGAGTTCCCGTTCATCAAGCCTAATTTGATTCGACTTGATTTGCCCGGCCTGGCCAGCCCATCACGTTGAAGTGGCGCCCAAACAGGGACCGCTCCAATTAGGCCGCTCAATTGGCGGTGCCTTGAAGTGCAGTCAGACGCACTGTTACCTTCCATTTCCACTTACCAGCGGATTATTGACAAGCGGGCGGAAGCCCTCCTACTTCCGATACGATGTCAAAGTGCCTCCGCTGAGTTTGAGACCCCCCTCCCGGCACACAAATTCACAACAAATGCTGGCAAAAAAAAATCAAGAGAAAAAATCGAAAAAGCAGCGAACATTTCGCGCCAAATCTCAACAAATTATTACAAAGCTTAACAAACTTGGAACTGATTATAAAAGTTGCCGCCAGGCAGTTGGGGAAATTGGGGAGCCGGCGGCCACAATGCAGCCAGAATTGAGTTGCGGGTGTCGCGAAGTTAGGAGCCCTTCCCCTATTCACATTGCTTCTTTTTGTTTTGTAGAGAAAAGTTTTTGGCCAAATGCGTTGTCGCTACTTACGGCGCCCCACAAACATCATTTTCAATAGACATTCACATAAACAACCTTGCATTATATTATTAAAAGTTGTCCATGCCTCGCCCGATAAAGGCTCTGAAGAAACTTTCTTCGCAAATGCAAAGTTCGAATCTGACTCAAATCCGCTTCGTAAGAGAGGCAGCCGCAGATCTGAGTAAAGTTAAGAGTCTGCGGAATGAAATACCAAAGAGAAAAGATTTTCTTATCGGTTCGAAAACATTATCAAAATGTTATCAAAACAATGGTACTTCAGATTCGTCAATACGCGGAGGTCATTCACACTGATCGGTAACTATAAGTATAATATCTAATACAAAACCTTGGAGTTCCTTTAATACTTCTGAAAGGATTGCGATATTATTTAAGAATATATTCTATATATAGTCATTTTAACGTCACACTACATTTTGTATTTAAATTTCAGATATTGCAGTCAATAACGGTGGCTCTTATTGTTTTGATTATTCTTCTTGTAGCTCTAGCAATTGAGCAAGATCGGGAAAATTGAGCTAAATTAAGAGATGATGTTATACAGAGAGAAGCAAAAAGAGAGGATTTCTAGGGCTAGCTATGCCTATAAGAAAACTGGGTTTGTTTAATAAGTCCCATATGTTTAATATGCCGGGGGGTTTTCCTCTCAAGAGCGGGTCACCTGATGAATGGTTCTGAGCAGAATCAGGTTCTGTAATAACTGGTAGTTGTACGATTCCAAGCTAGTACTCAACTAAATACTTAATATGGCTGGGTAAAGCCCACAATCCGTCAATGGGGGTGATCCGCAATCTGATGAGAGATCCGCATTTCCATCGAGAGGGTAATGCATTGCAATTCGCTTGTGGATTGTGATTTGGGTCCCAGTTCTCGTTCAGCTCCACTCCACATTGGTTGTTCCCGTCGCAATGACAATCTGGTGGCTGACCTTGCTTGGCCTTTGTCTCAATCTGAATCTCGGATTGGCATTGCAAGTTCCGCAACACAACTGCGAAAGGTACTTCTCCTACTACAAGGAAAGCGATGGAGCCTATATTGGCGTCTTCACTGCCCCCCGCGCTGGAGTCAATAGTTTGGAATGGGAGGTGGTCTTCAATGCCCACGGAACAGGACAGGTGAGTGTTTGTTGGGTTGTATATTCAATAGCTTATGTTGTAAACCTTATTTGCAGGCAGCAACTGTCGGATCTCTCCAGCCATATCCGTCTAAGGACAGCGCCTTCGAAAAGATACGCAATGGAGAACGTGGCCAGGTATTTGTGCGCTTCCAAAACTTCGGGGACGAGCTGCCCAAACTTATCCGGGCGGAATTCAATGATGAGCTTTTGTGCCGAAACGATGAATGTGAGTTATTGTCATATTAGATTTTTTATGAGCCTCTAGAGATTATTATTAATGTCAGTTGGATTGAAAATACGATGACATTCCAGAAGTTCCATTCATACTATCAAATCATGAGTTTCTATTTACAAACAAATAGTTTGCTTCTGAGTCAAACAGAAAAGATGACAATAACATTCGCTACAGTTTTAAAAAATATATATTTTTTGAATAGATGACATTTTTAGTGTAAATATCTTAAAACATTGACTACTTTGATATAATATTGATTACTTTTAAACAGTTGGTTCTTCAAAAAATTTTCTGCCAATCACTTTCTTTTCAAGAAAAACTCCTATTATCATATATATTTAAGATTTTTTCTTTTCTAAACCTTTTTTAATGTTTTCACTAACTAATCGCCTTTTTTCACTTTTTTTAGACGATGCCCCTTCGAGCACAATGACCCGGCGGCAGTCTATGTCCACCTCAACGCCCATTACTCAAATATCAGCGCCGAGGGAAACGGCAGTGCCCAGATTTGTCCAGAATACTCCAAAAGCAGCGCCGAGGGATAGGGTAGTGTTCCAGTCGGGATTTCTCGATTTGTCGCCCCCTAGCCAACATAGCTCTAATCCATTCCTTAATCGAAATATACCGAGGATTGAGTCCGACTTCGAGGAGTGCGGCGTGGAAGGTTTTGCACCCCTGCAAATCGGAGGCGATCTGGTGACCCGGGGTCAGTATCCCTGGCTGGCGGCCCTCTACGAAGGTAGTTCCACGGCTACGTACAAATGCGTGGTCTCGGTGATCTCCAAAAGGACTGTAATCACGGCTGCCCACTGTATTTATGGCAAGGAAGCCAATCAACTTTGGGTCTATCTGGGCAGGCATGATCGCAACGAGAATCCGGAGAACGGTGCTTCGTTGGTCAGTGTGTCCAGGGTGATAACTCCTTCCGCCTACGAAGGCAGTCCCGTTCCGGATGCGGATGTGGGCCTTCTGGTGCTGAACGCGGCGATGGAGTACACCAAGTACATCCAGCCACTCTGCCTGTGGAGCTCCAATATGGGCTTACCACCGAATGAGGGAGATTCTGGAGCGGTGGCTGGATGGGGCTACGATCGAAGTGCCCAAAAGACGAGATTTCCGAAGACTGTGAGTGTACGACTGGTGCCGAGGGATCAGTGCCTCAAGGAGATGAAACGGGCGGAGGACTTCATCACACGACGAACCGTTTGTGCTGGGAATTCGGAATCTCACGGCCCCTGCTTCGGAGACTCGGGATCTGCACTGATGGTCCTGCGAAATAACCGATGGTACATTAGGGGCGTCGTCTCTTTATCGCCTCGCCAGGGAGATATATGCGACCTTAGCAAGTACGTGATTTATTGCGATGTTGCCAAGCACATCGACTGGGTTCGTCAAAATATGGTGATATGATGTGACAAGATCAATTCGGTGTTCAAATCTTAAGAAACTAACTAAGTTAAAAGTGAAAAGTGTGTGTGTGAAGATAGACAAATTAAAACATCTCTGTACAAAATCTAATAAAAGTCTTACTGTCTATTAATTACCATGGTTACCGTTTTAAAAAAAACCAATTAGTTGAGAGTATAATGATATTTAAAATAAAAGAGGTAAGCACTGGAATTTCGAACTGTGATTCCCAGTTGGCAGGGAAATTTTGGTACGATACCGTCTACGGAATCTAAGTACAAAATTGAGTTGAGTTCAAGATCACATCGTGTCTGAGAAAACAAAGATACAAGTTGGCGAGATTTGTTTATACAGAATCTCCCATGTTTATTATGAGTGGGGGTTTTCACTCAAAACAAAGATGAGCGGGTATCTAGTTTGTGAGCTTCTAAGTTAGGCCTGCTGATGCTCTGCCTGATAAATTACCTTTTTTTCTGTAGGACGTTTATGAAAAGTATAGAAAAAAAGTTACAAAACTTAATTATTAAAAAACCAAGGAGATTTTCTTCAGATGCTTTAAAATTTTGTTATATTTTGACAAATGTAAAGAAAAATTCGTAATGTATTTATTATTTATTTAATATAAAAGAAGTGCCGAATTTACCAATTATATTTTAGTAATCCATAGTAACATAATGATTTTATTTTGTTGAAAAAGTATTAAAGCGTCGGCAGATTTGTTCTTAATGTTTATCTATAATCCGTGCCTTATTGGCTCCGCACGATGCGGAATTTCCAGTTTACTCCCAGACACCGCTGAGTGACTCAACAACCCGTCGAGATCCGATGGGAGCGGAATTGCTCGAACACAGTCTGTTTTATTTGCCCAGCGTTGCTTGTCGCGTGCGGAACCGAGATCTCAAAAAAATCCCAGATCTCAAAAAGGTATGGGTCTGGAATTTGCCGTACTGGTATCACTAATCGCCTTGGCCGGGGGACAGTTTCTGCCGGAGAACACTTGCCCCGAATACTTTCAATATGTCAACGATCCATTCACGGGTCTCCAGGGCGAGATTACGCTGCCCACTTTGTCGCAGGGTCGCATCAATGTGCGATTCTGGCAGTTGGGTAATAATGATGTATGAGATGGCCAGCGATCTTCGCTCTGGAATGACAACCGACCTGACCACTTTGTCCCCTCCGCAGGCCTCAGCCGTGGGTAACCTGAACCCGTATCCAGATGATGATTCAATCAAAAGGGCAAGGGGACCCTATAAGTTCCGAGTCTCCCTCAGATGGAATCCGCCCAAATTGACCTTACTCTCTTTCAACGGTCAGCTGTTGTGCTCGGCGAGGGAAGGTGATTTGCATTCCATGTATTATATTATATTTTTATTTAATTGGCTGTAATTTCAGACGCTGGCGGGCAAAATGAGACCTACTTCAATCGCTTCTATGTGATTTTCCGCAGTGAACCACTGTCGCCGTTTCCTTCAATCGTATCGAATCCCATTCCCAGAGGTGGCACCAATGTGGATGTGCAATCCGTATTCTACTCCACTAATGGCGGTGATTTTGAGCCGGCTTTTCGGCAACCCTGGCGGACATTCTCCGATAGAAGACCTTCTTTGAGACCTCAGTTGGCCAGCCCAGCGCCCACGCCAACGGAGATTTTTTGGGATCCACCTGCGAGATCTGTGCCACTTTTACCACCACCGGTTGCCAGCAATCCTCCGCCGATTGCCACCAATCCTCCACCAATTGCAACCAGTCCACCGCCGATTGCCACCAATCCTCCGCCGGTTGCGCCACCCCAAAACTTCAATCCACGAACATCTTCATCACTAATAACTTGCGGCAGGGAGGGCAGTTTGATTCCGTTTATCGTGCGGGGCGAGGAGTACCCTCGTGGTCAGTATCCCTGGCTATCGGCCGTCTTTCACAAGGTGTCGCGTTCCCTGAGCTTCAAGTGCGGAGGCTCCCTGATCTCCGCCAGCATTGTCATCACTGCCGCCCACTGTGTGCACAAGATGTCGGAGAACAACGTGGTCATAGGACTCGGACGCTACGATCTGGATGACTATGCAGAGGAGGGCGCCGAGATGCGAAATGTGAGGCGATTGCTCTGGCATCCGGAGTACAGTACCCGATCCTATTCCGATGCGGACATCGCCCTGATCACGATTGAGCGGGCAGTCACGTAAGTAAATATGCTTAACACTTTAATCTTATCCTTGAAAGAATTGTTAAAATATGGTTTTATTTAGAGCAATTATTTTCCTGTACCTGCTTGAGAAACCGATACTTATTTTTGTGTTTCTTGTAGGTTCAGCGACATTATAGCGCCCATTTGCATGTGGACTGCGGAGGCGAGCAGTACGGCGAGCTCCTCTGGCTTCATTGCGGGATGGGGTCGGGATGAGTCGGACTCCCGGACGCAGTATCCCCGGGTGGTGGAGGCGAAGATCGCCAGTCCCACGGTCTGTGCCAGCACCTGGCGGGGATCGATGATGGTGACGGACCGCAGTCTGTGCGCGGGAAACCGCGATGGATCTGGTCCCTGTCTGGGCGACTCCGGCGGAGGACTGATGGTCAAGCAGGGCGATCGGTGGCTGCTCCGGGGCATTGTTTCCATCGGGGAACGCGGACCCTCCAACAAGTGCCAGCTGAACCAGTATGTACTCTACTGCGATCTGTCCAAGCATATCGACTGGATAAACGATAATATCCGCTGAGTTACGTGATTACTTTGTACACACTTAGATTAAAGAAACCTCAAACCAAAGCACTTGTATTCCATTGTCTGGTGATTTTTGGACGAACGAGTTTGTAGCTTTCTTATGTCAATTATTTTGCTAGCATTGATGGATGAATGGTGAACCAAAAAAAAGGTAAGATACTTTGTTGTCACTCGCTTCTAAAAAACAAAAAAAGGATTACTAAAAAGTTTACTTTTTATTTTGATGAGTAGTTCTTTAGACTTGAAGTGATTCATAATTCAGTGGCTTTGCTAAATGCTAATCGATACACTGAAAGTATAAATTATCTTAAAAGGTGATCATTATATTAGAAATATTTAAAATAACAAAAACTTTACCAAAATATTTCATATTAAAAACACACGAAAATATTTTAAAATTTAAAGGATCTATAGTATTAAGGATTTAAAGTTTTTGAGTTGTCAAAAATGCAACAATTTAAGTTTAAAATATTCCTACAGCATTTTGTAAAATTTCTTTTGCTAACTTTAAGTCTTTATCATAGAACCCAACTACTTTTTTGCAGTGCAAGCCCATCTAACAATTATATAGCGTAATATATAAACATATATGACCACGTGCTGACTGTTCACTGATTGGCATCAGCTGAACAAATGTTTGCCAAGCGTGCTGCATATTTAAAACCCAATGAGTTATCTCTTTAAGGCCAGAACGATTCGGAAGCTCTCAATAGGTTGGTGGAAAGATGCAGCAGACCATTTTTCTGCAATTCCTTTCGGTGCTTTTCATTATCCAAGATGGAGTCCTGGCAAAAGATCCCACCCCTTCAATAAGATACGAGTCAGGAAACGAGGGAATCCTGCCCAATGATCAGGAATATTATAAAGGTGATGGAGTTTTGGTTCTAAATCCAACCAACAACTTGCAGAACGAGAATGAAGTTGCGATTACTCAATACAGGGAGTATCTGGATAATTCTATATGGAAAATACTATCCGATTTACCAAACACTCACAAGAAGAAAAGGCGACATGCTCTGCGGGAAGTACTGGAAGTTCTATCTGGCGTGAGTCTGAGCGTTTCTCCATTGGGAGAAAGTCTAGGGAAAATCAAGGGACAGCAGGCGGAATTGGTATCAAAACTAAAACACCAGGAGGAATGGAAGTTCTGGGCCGCAGCGAAAGTTCAAAAGGTGGGGCAGTCCACTGAAGGTCTGAGAACAGCAGAAGCTGTATCCATCACCGAAGAGTTTAACAATCGTTATGTCCTTCGACTGCGCAACTGTGTTAATCAGTTTCTCTGGGCTCAGATTCGACTTAATCTGGATTTGAAGAAGTCCATCGATGGCCTGCAAATGCCTACAAGGCAGGTGATCGAAGCCACGGAAAGGTGTCCCAGTATCAAGCCCAAAAAGTGCCAAAAGGGCGCTAGGAGAGCTACTGTTGACCTCCAAAATGCTCCACAGAATCTCCATAACCTATGGATTGAGTCCAATCAGCTGGAGGATATCCAGAAGCAAAGTAACCAGTGCCTGGATAAAACTCTTAAGGAATATTTTGAGGAGCGGACAGAAATCGAAAGTCAGCTGGAGGTCATTATCAAGGAGTATCAGGAAAGTGAGACCCCCACTGGCAAATAGGGAGTAAAATATATATATTCATCAAATGGCAAAGATATAGTACATATAGCACACATCCAGGGCAACTTCAGCACTTACTAGGTTAAGAAAAAAATAAATATAATATTTCAAAGCAATATATTGATCATATATTATTGAAATACATTTTCAGAAATCTCCTATCGTTGATATGTAAGATATTAAATATCTTTAAAGTTTTCATTAACGAAAATCGGAGAGGATTAGAATGATGCATTCGTAGTAATTCATTAAAATGCAAATGACCTATCAAGGCGAAGTTCAAATTGAATTCCAAACGCGGGAAGAATAAAATGACTTGCATAACCAATCTCAAAATCTTGAAGTGATGTTAGTAATATCATATTACCACTCAAGAGTGGAACTACGAAAACATATTGTAAAAACCCACAATGTGGGGAGAGCCACTGACGTTATAAACAAACTTTAGTTTACAGAGGCTTGGATTCTCTCATGGAGTGAGGTTCTTGAGCGTTAGAACGAGTGATTAAAATCTCAATAAAACAGATTGGAAAAGCTCGGCACTTACGCAGTTGCAATGAGTCCGCTACAGCTGGTGACCGCTCTCCTCGTAATATCGCTGATTGAATCGGGTCTTGGCCAGTTGCCTCGGAATGGCTGTGCCCCGCGTTTCGAGTACCAGGGCTACCAGGGGCAGTACATCGGTCTGGTGAAAGTGCGTCATCCCTTGGTCAACAACCAGTCGCTCATCCTTCAGTTCTCCCAGCCTGGATATCACGATTTCACGGTAAGATTTGGTTTATTTTGCTGGGAAATTCTCAGTTCTATTACATTGCCTCTGGAGCTCTTATCACTTTGCTTGTTTGCGGTTGTGATATTTCCCAAGCCCCCAATGACAATTGCCTTTGCAAAAGCAAAAAAAAAAAACGCTATAAACAAGTCTCAGGGAAAAAGAGAGGTTTGCTTTACTAGTTAATATTGATAATACTATTTAAATAATCGGATCTAGACCAAATGCAAATATTAGTAACAAAAATTGTATATATAGTATTTAAAATATTCCTGTTTTGCTGTTTAAATATTGTACATCTTAATTACCCCTCTTTAATTTTAGGACAATGTGGGCAAAATTTCCATGGTGGATACAGATGAGACTACCCAGAACAATCTTCGCAATGGCTTTCCTATTCGATACCGTGTCGATTTCCCCATACCCACAATCCCTCCCAAGATAACTGGCATGCAAGTGAATGGTATTGAGCTTTGCGGTGGCGTAGAATGTAAGTTCATATTCTGTTAAGTTCAGAGATACGAAACTGATCCGAATAACTTCCAGATCCCAAGCCAAGAACAGGCATAACTCTTTTGATCACTTGGGTAACCTATGGTGTCAGTCTTGTGCCTTCACCAGGCGTCTATAGGGAGAGTGGGCCCACTCAACCAAGGATCCCGGATGGTGGAGAAGATATTTGGCGAAGTAATGAATCTTTTCCTACGTTTTCGAATCCTGGATGGGGTACTGCCACTCAGCAGGCCACTCCAAATCGAAATACTGTTACTCAGAACCTCAACACTAATCCTAATAGGGGTACAGTCCCCCAGCAGAGGATAAACAATCCTGTTCGGCCTACTGCACCCCAGCAGACGATCAGAAATACGGATCCTCCGCAAACGTTTAGGAATAACGAAGAGCGTGTTTCCCAGGAGACTGCATCATCGGAAGAGTATCCCTGCGGTCGTGAGAGACGTCAGAAGACCATTACTTCTCCTCTAATCTACCAGGGAACGAGTTTGGAAAGGGGTCAACTGCCATGGTTGGTGGCTATCTTCGAGCGGCGGGAGAGCAATGGACCCCGCTTCATCTGTGGAGGTTCGCTGATCTCGACATCCACGGTTCTGTCGGCGGCCCACTGTTTTCGAGTTCCTGGCAAGGATCTGCCTGCCGATCGATTGGCCATCTCCCTGGGTCGAAACACCCTTGCCATTCACTCCCCGGGAGAATATCGCGGGGTCACCCAGTTGATTATCCACGATAGATTCAACATTGCGCAGTTTACTGAGGCCGATTTGGCACTGGTCAGATTGGATAGCCCAGTAGGGTGAGTTTAAGGAATATTTGATCTTTGAATATATGAAGTATATAATTTCAAAATTGGTTTAGTGCTAGAAAAGGTTTAATTTGTATATCATCGCTAAGATAATTGTTTAGTTTTTAATAATTTTTTAAACTATAAAAAATATCCTTACAGATATTACGACTACGTAATACCCATTTGCCTGTGGAGCCCTAGGAACCAAATGGAACTGCCGCAGGGTCACAAGACCTATGTGGCTGGCTGGGGACCGGATGAGTCGGGAAACGGCCATTCGGATGTGGCCAAGGTCACCGACCTGAACATCGTAATCGAGTCGAGCTGCCGCCTGGAGCTGGCCAAAGAACTGGTGCAGCCGAGCAGTCTGTGTGCCAAGAGAGCGGGAGCAGGACCTTGTACCAGCGATGGAGGTGGCCCATTGATGCTCAAGGAACAGGATGTTTGGGTGCTAAGGGGAGTGACCTCGGCGGGTCAAATCGACGAGGAGAAGGGCACCTGCGATCATAGCTTACCATCCGTGTTCACCGATGTGGCCAAGCACATCGACTGGGTGCGTCGAAATATGTGGAACTGAAAGGAAGATGGGGTGTGCCAGAGATCCTCATGAATATATGTATGGCAGCCACGTAACTGGAAGGTCCAAGAGTGCGGTCCGCGCTACGGGTATTTCTAACTGGATTCATTAATCATTGGAAAAATAAATCAGTCATGCACAGCTTGTATACACTGCAAACGTTTTCGTTTAATACTTAGGGGCATCAACTTTATGTTAATGAATTAGATGAATTATTTTATCGCTTTTAATATTTGCGATAAATGTAAGTTTCATTAAAAAACTATTTTGATGTTCACTGATATCCATGTGTCCATATAATAACGTGATAGCAACTTGCGATCAGTACCTTTTTAGAATAAATAATCTTAGAAAACCAGACTAAAACTTGGGTCTGATACAAATGTTAATTTATTTTCAAATATTTTCAAAATGTTTGAATTCTATGTTAATTTACCATCAATCAGGGTAATGACATACTATTTTGTTGGGTTCGTTAGGGTTGAAATACCTTTAAGGCAATCCCAACCAAGCGATCAAACAAAGGCGGAATCTCCCAATAAATCGCAGAGTATGACTGTAATCGCGTAACTTACTCCGATCAGGTTGAGAGAGTCAACGAGCTTTGTCTCTGACCCGACTTTTCAGCTAGATCGGAAACTAATGCGAATTAGCTGAGCTAATACCAATCATTCATCGCGCGACTCTCAATGAGTGCGGTTTAAGTTCGGATTTTCGGCTAGTTGCATGCTGTGAAATTGCAGTCGCATTTGTTTTTATAAATATTTATTGTTCCGGAAAGGTTCCGCCACCTTCGCCATGTGCCAACTGCAGCTACTCGGTTTCCTGATCACCATATTGCAGATCGGCTTTATAAGTGCTCAACACCTGCCATACGTAGCCTGTCCTGGTCTTTTTCGCTATCTAGAGTACCAGAATGAGTACATAGGACATTTGAAACTAGTGCTGGATAATACGAATGCGGAAAACGAAGTTCGTATTGAACTTTCCCAGCCTGGAGATAGAGCCCCGGTAAGTTTTCCCGACTCTTCCTCTTTGCAATAGTTATGCTAGTCAGTGTTATCAAGCATTGACCTCACTCTCAGATGGGATGTCTGATTTTCCACTATCGAGTTCGGCTTGGGCTCACTGGTCAAGATGATTTCCATGGCAATTGCATGGCTGATAAGAAAGAACGCGCTTGGGAAAAACCTCCAATACCCGAAAGCTTCTCAGCTCTATTCTCGCTTTTCGCTTTCTTTAAAGTTGTGGAACAGGTTTTTACGTTAATCGAGAGATGTGCCGCCTAAGCTCAGCTGCCAATGCTATTATTTTTCTATCAGTTGAGTTATGTTTACAAATCTGACCACCGTGACGTCGATCGGAATTTATAGCTGCCCCCTGGGAACGCCGACTGGTTTTGACCCATCTTATTTTTTGCAGCCCACCCCCGGTATGTTTAACTTCTTGGAAGATGAGGACTCACTGTATTATCGCTTGAGAAACGAAGAGCCCATCAACTACCGAATCGACTTTCCAACGGCGGGTGTAGTGCCCAAACTTACCAAGGTTTCGGTCAATGGGGAAATTGTGTGCCAGTCTCGAGATTGTAAGTAGATCTCTATTTTACATAGATAAATATCAACTTAAAGATTTATAAAAAATTGTTAGTGGCCAAACCAAAAACCTTTTTGTGTGAAAATCAATTTTAAATACTATTTTTTACAAATATTAAATGTATGGGTAGTGTAAAAACATATAAAAACATAAAGAGGTGCTGAGAAAATTCTACTTATTAATTGCTCGTATTAAATGTAAAGCTTTAAGGTTGATTAAACCCATATATGTTTGACTTACGGACTTACTGACCTATTTTTCTTGCAGTTAGACCGCCTAGCATTAAGCTAAAACTGTCGCGCATTCTGCGAACAAGTATTCCCTTGGCAGCTCTTCCGCCACCTCAGCGACCCGATCCGCCACAGTGGTCCCGGAATCCTCCAGGGAACTTCTCAGGAGGCAATGAGGAGGATACACCTCCTCAGAGAAGCCGTCCACAGCCTCCACCAAGGAACATAGGTGTCTATGACGAACGGGACCCACCCCAAAGAAGCCGCCCGCAGCAGACTCCTCCTCCTCCTCCTCAAAGGCAGAGACCTCAAGAAGTTAGACCAGCAGTGCCCTTGGTCCCACCCGTACAATCATTTCCATACCAAACAATTGGACAACTTAACGGCGTGTGTGGGCGGGAGAAAACCATCCAGACGCCCTTCATCCATGGCGGAAATGAGGTGGCACGGGGACAGCTGCCCTGGATGACGGCCCTCTTCGAGCAGGTGGGCAAGGATTATAACTTCCTGTGCGGTGGCACCCTGATCTCGGCCAGAACTGTGATCTCTGCCGCCCATTGCTTTCGCTTCGGCAGTCGCAATTTGCCGGCTGAAAGGACTACAGTTTCGCTGGGTCGTAATTCCCTGGATTTGTTTGGACCGGGATATACCAGTGGTGTATCGCTACTTTTGCTCCATCAGCAGTATAATCCCAGTGTATATACCGATGCCGATTTGGCTCTACTGCAACTGGCTGATCGTCCTGTGTAAGTACCTAAGTACCTAAGTACTAAGTACCTGTTTAAAACCACCTTTATAGATTTGATGACTACATCAAGCCCATCTGTTTGTGGAACGAGAACTATCTGCTGGATTTGCCCTCTGGGTACAAGTCCTATGTGGCTGGCTGGGGCGAGGACGAGAATGGCAATCGAAATTCACGGCGGGCCAAGATGACGGACACGGACATCATTACCCAAACGGAGTGTCGGGGAAATCTCTCCGCGGAGAATGCCCACTTCATCACCTCGCACACGATCTGCGCCAGCAATGCCCTGGCCTCGGGTCCCTGCAGCGGAGACTCCGGCGGAGGACTGATGCTTCAGGAGCAGGACGTTTGGTTGCTGCGCGGCGTCGTCTCCGCCGGACAGCGGAAGACCAACCGGTGCAATCTCACGCTGCCCGTCATCTACACGGACGTGGCCAAGCACATGGAATGGCTGCTCAAGAGCATGTGGTTCTGAGGGATTGTTGTTGATTTAGTTGAATTGTGTGCCAAAATAAATGATAATTTCTTTAGCTTGTAACAAACTGGAGGAATTCTGAATGGTTATAGGATAGATATTGAGATAAACCTTATACAACTGAGATAAAATATAAGTATATTGGCTAATTTCAAATATTTAACTAATGATAAAATAGGCACAGTGTGCCTGGCACGCCTTAAACGCCCATCCCCACTTTTAACTATCTCATCAAAAACTAGATATATTAGGCAAGAACTACATAAATAGTGGCTTTAATAGTGAAAATCTTGCTTCCTTGAACCGGTAAAAATGTTCCTAAGAAATGTTGAAACCTGTAAGCTTTTCTTTGGGATTACAAATAAAATTCAACAAAAACAACGTTTTTTTTTAAACCACTGAATTTGATAAATCAATAGTAATAAAATTAGAAAATCTCTTCATAGTCCAACAACCGTTTTCATATGTAATTTGGCCACAAATGTTTAATTCTCTTTTTTTTTTACTTTTTAAACAGATGCATATATTTTGTATCCACCTCTATCAAAGATATTCAATGATTGCAGGTCGCTATTCTGTGATATTTAAGCAAAGTGCACTTCCCGATTGTGGAGTACCTCTTTCGGTGAGGGTATCTCAATTGAAAGATTGCATCGGCCTGCGGGTCTGCCAGCGGTGATTTGTCAAAGCCAGCAATTGCATTCCATTTGCATGCAGTTGAGGCAGTCACTCCTCAGTTCTGTTCTATTCTGTTTAGTATGACACTGCATCGTAGTTCTCTGTGTCTGCTAATGAGAACAAATGGAGAGGGCGGCCAAAGTCGCGCCGGAATCGCTGGCGAAACGCTAGGAAAACGCGTCGGCGGAACAACAGGTGCTTTTCCCGCTTTTCAGCTGGCTCTTTCGTTCTCTCTCTCTTTTCTCTCTCTCTTCAAACTGCGCAGCGCACATTTTCCGCCTTATAGACGGGGCCTCGAAACCATCCTGTTGAATGGACTACTTGTCGGCTCCTCCGTCGGAACTCGAAAGTTGTTGCATACTCCACGGCGTTGCTTTTGGATTGGTATTGGTCGTTAGCCGTACTGAAGATACCGTTAGTCGTGCGTATCCGGACAGTCGACGTTCAGCCTTCAGTTCGCACGGTTCAGCTCGGCAGTTCGGAGGCAGCCGGATAATAATAGATAAACCATAGATAAGCACCCGTACCGAATTTCACAGGGGTTTCCCTTGGATTTTCCGATTGCCGATCGAGAATTCTTGACGGGCGTGTGCGTGTGAGTGTGTTTATGCCTCAAATGTGTGTGTGACCAGTGTGTACATGTGCGATTAAAAAAAAACCCAAGCATATATAATTAATCATTCGAGGAGTGTGACTCTAATGCTGTAATTTCGCCTGATTGATGGCCGGACATGACTCTGGGTCGCGTTTTCCGCGATGTTTGCCACACAAATCCTGTCCTCCTGAGCATCCTTAAATCGCCATTGCCGCATTCCGATTCGCAGTGTATTAGCAGAATGCTGCATTGCCGTTGTGGGGCAATTTATTGCCGTACCCGTAACTGAGTATCTCTCGCTGAACAGGGGGAAGCCTCCGCCGCCACACCCAGGACCTTTCGCCCAGGACGCCTCTAATCATCGCCCTTTCTGCCCAATGACAAATGCAATGCGGGCAATTGCTGCCCTGGCAGCCGGAGTGGTTTCAGTGGTGGTCACCGCCAGCAGCACCACCAGCCCCCTTAGCACCACCACCACCACCTCATCCGCCGCCACCGTGGGCAGCACCACCATCATCAGCGGGAGCGGTGGCAACAGTAGCAGCAACACTGGATTCTCCACAAATTCCACGCTGCTGGACGCCGATCACCTGCCGCTGCAGTTGACGACCGCCAAGGTGGACCTGGACATTGAAATCGACATCCAACTGCTGACAAATGGCTACGATGGCACAACGGTGAGTCCGTGAGTCCGGGAGTTGGGTGGAGTAGGTAGTGGGGATTGGAGGCCCGAAGTGGGTCGATTGTATTTATGTGGCTGCCAACGAGGCATTCATTGGGCTTTGGCTTTGGCTTTCGCTCAGGCTTTGGCTTTGGCTTAATGTCCAATGTGCAGCT